GGGGGGGCGCTCTGCGACCAGCGCCGCGGCGCCTTCCAGGAGGGTGGTTGCGGCGGACGGAAACAAAGTCTAGCTTCTGTTCAAAAACTTTTCCCTACGGAATGGATCGTATTGTGGATGAATGGTTCCGAGTGTCTTCTCTCCCTCTCCCGCCGCGAGTGGTATCCGCTCTAAACAGAGCGACTAATGTGGTTAGCGCCCTGGACGCGGCTTGGCTTGGCGTGGCGAGGCGTGGCGTGGCGTGGCGTGGCCGGCTCGTTAGGGTTCTGCTGTTAGCATTTACACTTTGGCCCTTGCCGGGGCGGGCGGACAGTAGGGCAGCAAAAGCTTTTGCACTTCGGGCCTTTTCGGTAGGACCGTGGCTGGCCCGGGGGGGCCTCGTCGCCGTCTGTGCCCCGCCCGAGTTTCCCACGCTGGTTCCTCCAGTCACTCGCCCCCACTCCGAGGCCTTCGGGAAGCTCTAGGACGACCCCCCCCCCACAAAGGGAAATAACCGTATCTCCAGTTAGTGGTGCCCGGAGTGTGTCAGCTCGGGAGGTGCAGCCGGGGCCCGGCGCGCCCGGCGAGCAGCGTGAGCATGAAGTCGACCGTCATGAAGACGGCGTTGAGCGTGGCGAGCACGGCCTGCAGCGGCCAGGCGCACAGCGAGGCCGAGTGCGCCTCGTCCGGGCACGGCCAGGCGGTGAGCATGAGCGCCACCACCAGGTTGAGCACCACGCCGCCGCCCAGGAACAGCAGGTCCTGCAGCAGCGCCGCGCCGCGCACCAAACAGTTTTACTTGTTGATGGCATACTGTAACGTTACCGACCCGAGCAGGAAACTCTTCTCGCTCACCGTGAGGCGGGTGCTCCTGCGCGCCGCGTGGATGGTGATGGCCACCGTCCTGGTGAGCAGCAGACCGCCGAAGGCCATGCTGGTGTACCAGGCTGGGGCGGTCTCCCCCAGCAGCAGCAGTGCTCCCAGCCCGTCGCAGAACTGGGCCCCAGACCCACGCCGAACACAAACAGCACAATCATACATGGTTTCGAAAACCACATAAATGGAGTAACTACTGCCGACTGAGATCGGTGCTTTCGTCGTCCAAAAAGGGGCCAGCGGCTTATTTTTCGCGTTCTTCCTCGTTGACAAAGCTGTGCATGTACATGGTGGGCGGCCAGCGCCATCAGAGGGAATGCAGGCGTGCGGGTGGGCTTGCCTAGCGTCACCATGGCGCCTTATGGCTCCGGGCACATAGGCAACCCAACTCACCCGCTCGCTTGCATGCGGTCTTGAGCCCAACCGCTCCGGCGCTGGGCGCCTTTCCCGAATTTTAGACTTCTGCGCCCAGAGGAGCTTAATCCCGGAGATGACTATAATTGTGTGGTTGATCTAAACAACACTCACCTTGTGGACAACCAAGTTTTGAGTTTTGCTCTACTAGGGCTATACTAATACTGTGTGTGAGTGTGACAGAGATTTTCATTTTTCTATATGGATGTTCCTCTCGCCCCACCGTCCGACCGTCCGTGGCTATCTTCGGAATCAGTTTTAAATGGCTGAATCCTGGTTTGTTATCTGTGACATGTTTTGTTTAGTTTACTCACACACTCAGCAATTTTCAGTAGCAGCAGGGGGTCCGATGCGTCGCAGTACACCATTGTGGGACAGAGATTGCCATGGTTACCAGGAAGTGATCCGAATTGTTTATATGAATGTAGGAGAGGAAAGCAAACAAAAAAAATTCTTCGCATTTAATATAAAAAGACAATGTCGTGTATTTGACATTTTTTTGTATTCTATAAGAGTTGTCATATGCCTGACATGTATAATTTACATTGGACTCTATGTAAGAGTTGTTGTCATTTGCAGCTCTCGAGTCCTCAACGCTGTTTACACAGGGCTCTTTACTCGCTTACTGCGGCTGCTTGAACACGTCCGAAGCATAAATCATAATTATACGCCGATCATGTGTTCAATTTTACAGTGAAACGGCACCCCCAATGACGACATTGGTGGTCATACGGAAAGGTGCATGGTTGATCAATTGTCGGACTAAGCGTGCTAACTTAACACATTGTATGAGCGGGCACAACCAACGTGCTTCAAAAAATAACAATCACGTCGGCAATGTATATAAACAAATAAATAAATGGTCGTCGAGACAATCTTACGTATAACAATTAACCTACTGAGTTAACCTACCTTGTCTGGGTGTTTGAATGAAATAGTGATGAATATGGTTGGTCACAATGAATAGAAATGGAGGGAAATGAAAACCAAACAACTTCGTCCGGCTTAGAAAAGGCGCGCCGGAAAGACCGAAAATTGTCAATCTCCCGACTTGGTAACACGACACAATAGTTCCGTTTTCAGCTTAGCGGGCAGAACAGAGGCGTCCTCATTCGTAGAACGTTTCTTACTGTTAAAATCTTCCTGACAATTTTTCCGTCCATATTATGGCACTGCAGCAATTTTTCACATTATGAACATGACCTTCCTTATTTTTAACAAAAGTGGCGATCGTAAGATTTTAAGAACAACGTGTGTCAGCGCTATGGCGTAACATTGTTGCGGGCCAGCCTACCCTGGAGGCCTTGGCGCCTTTCGGATGGAGCGAGTAGGCAAACCCGCACACTGTCGTGTTGTAGCGCCCGGACACACGGTGACACAGCCATGTCGCTCTATATACTGCTCTGCCAGTTATCATTCTTACTCGCTAATCTGGAAAACGGTGATTTAGGAAATGGTGACTAATCGTCGTCGTTGGCGAAGTGGATGAAGGACAGCACGGTGTCGATGAGGTAGGCGGCTCCCTCGATGACGCAGAGCGCGCCCACGGCCAGCCCCACGGAGCGCTCGGGCACGTTGGTGGTGTAGTGCTGCTCCTTCATGTAGCCGCTCCAGTAGTGCAGCGCCGTGCCGCCCACCGAGATCCACATGATGGTCCCGACGAAGTTCATCATGATTTCCTGCGGGGCAGAAGGACGGGGGGGGGGTTAGTGAGGCTGCTTTTGAAAGAACCGGCTGCTGCGCTTGCCCTGCCCAGCCCGGGCCCTTCCCGCCGCCGCCTGGTGGACAGCGCAGGGCCGCTGAGGCTCTCTCGACTTCCGTTTCCGCCCCGCGCCGCCACTTTACTTTGTCGTTATGTAACAATAAGCAGAGCGTTGTCGCGGCGTGCAAGAACGTGCCGCTTTGTCCGTCCTTTCCCTCCCCCTCGCCGGGGCGCGGCGCGCGACGTGTGAACAGCGCGCGGAAATGCAAAGAGTGTCCGAGGAGGGAGGGAGCTCTACGAGCAGCTCTATGACAGGCGTGAAGTGGTCGCCCGCACCGCGGCGCACCGCGGCGCACCGCCGGGGCACGACCACCACGACTGGACGTGTTCCCAAGGCCGCGGCGTGGGAGGGAGGGGCACGAGGGTACTTAGACGTACACCAATTTTTCTGTTTTTCTTTTCGCAATTTTTCTAATTTTCTCTTAATTTTTCTATTTTTTTTCCAATCGATTTTCCCTCTATTTCTTTTCTAGTTTTTTGGAGGGTGTAACATCAGCGCAGGAAGAATTGAACCCTTTCTGCTTAGAATATGAAAGTCAGGGGGGTTCAATTGTTTCTGCGCTGATAGTACACTGTTTTTTTTTAGTGAAGTACCCTACAGGGGCAACCACTACTCTACTCACCACGAGGGACTGCTTGTGCTTAGTGTAGCCGAAGCAGTACGCCATGAGGCACACGGCCGTGTAGATGAAGAAGCCGACGAGCACGCCGCTCGCCACGATCTCGGCGTCGGGGCTCTTCTCCTCGTTGAGGTTCCACGTGCCGCCCACGCCGAGGAAGCCGCCCGCATACCCCGTCCGGTACAAGACGAGGATGATGAGGTTCACCACCTGCGCCAAAGGGACATCTCTTAATACCACACACCAAAACACACGCAATAAAACAATAACAAACTGGAAAGGAAGTCCTGGTGGGAGTTTATTTTTGACTGCATGAATGGGGGGCTCCGCGACAGGATGCGCCACTCGTTTCGATGCGCGCGGCCCGGCCCGCTATCAGTGATAAGGGCGAGGAATGCTCGGCGCGTCACCGCCTCCGCCTGGTGGGCATGGCCTGGGCCGGTACAGGTGCAGGCAGGCCGGGGGCGTTGGGGCCATCCCCGACCCCGCGGGTGCAGCCCCTCCCGGCGCGGTGCGTCACCTCCAGAGAGGGCGGCTCTCTGATGACTCAGGTGCTGTGCACCCCGCGCTGGTCAGGATGGTGGGCGAGATGGATGCAGTTAGCTTCACCCGGTCCCACTTCACTTCACTTAGAAACCGCGCAGGTCACCAAAGACCTCTGATGTTGGTGTTTTGATGGCGGCGAGTGTTGATCAGCCCCGCGAGCCCGCCGCGGCTCGAGCGGGCGCTGCAGCAGCGCCTGCCGCGTGGGCAACCACTCGCGCGCGCACGCCGCACATGTTGCCGCGGGGCGGGGCTCGCCTGGCCAACGCCCACCGGAGCAGGCGTCTTCTCTCTACCAAACGCACTTTGACGTGTGTTCTTGACGACGTCGCACAGAAGCGGGAGCACCACCAGGGTTTGCGTTGGACCTCTTGGGGTGGGCACCGCGAGGACGTTCCAGATCCGAGCAGAGTGACCCCGCACAGTGTTCAGTATGAAAACCCGCGGTGTGGAACAAGCCTGCAAGTGGTGGCGCGTGTACTCACCAGCTTGAATATCTTGAGCACGAGGGACGCGATGGAGGTGACGGTCACCATGGTGTCGGTTAGAGAGTTGCCCTGCTAGTCGGATAACCTCTGCTCGCGGTTTGCATCGGGGAAATGGGGCTTGAGCGCGTTTCCACGGTGAGCCTCGTGCACTTATCTCCCCGTATCGCGCTGCGAGGTGTTTACCTGCGCATCGCCCCGTCTCCCTCGCTCTCCCTCCCGCGGCTCTCGCCGTCTCTGTCCGCCGTCCAGCCCTTATCGCCGCTATCAGCGCCCTAATCAGGACGCAACACGCGTGCCTGGGCGTGCCCAAAGGCGTGCCCAAAGGCGTGCCCGGCCAGGTGACGGTGCTCGGGGCCCGGCTCCCCGAGTGTGACCTCATGATCATGTTCACGGAAACGGATTGGCGGCCGGAAGAAACCCGTCGCCGTTCGTCAGCCGGGGCGCGCTTCTGTTTCTTTTGACGAACAAGATGATGGACTGTTTGGAGCCAAGCGCGTTGTCGCTGTTGCACAAAAACGAAAACATAAATACCGCAAAGAAATATAAGAGCGTCAATGCATTGAGTGTCGTCCGTGAGCGACACTGTATTATCGTCTGGGCATTCTGAACGCTCTGGCGGGTGCGTGCGTCACCCTGTTGCATGTCTGTCGCAACCGACCGAGCAGCCACCTCCGCTCGCCGCCTGGCGGCTCGGGGTGGGCCGCCCGCCTCGGCCCGGTGCCGTCGTGTTGCCTACCTGGGGTCCGCAGGGGCTCTCTTCTCTGGAGGCTCAGCGTAGGCCGCCCGCCTCGGC